AGCTTGATTCTTGATAAGCTGGCTAAGCGTGAAAACAAAACTTCACGCAAAATCTGTGACGTAGCGGCCGATTATTAGCTGCAGTTGTTCATCAATATTCATCAGGACTTGTGAAAGTTTCTGCAAACCATGTTGTCCGTCGTAGATTGAAGACGAGCTGTCCTTTGTGCTAAATATAGAGTTGCACTCTGGAAAGAAGAAGACACTGGACCTTTAAGGAAGAGCACTCCTACGTTATTAAAACAGCAGGTGAGTATTCCCTTTGGAAAACATCGCCCAAACCTCCCTCGAAGAGCTAAAAGAGTCGTTTCATCTCAGTTCAACGACGTAACACGAGTCGGTGGCTTGGCCAAGTCTGAACCGCTCTTCAACTCGAAATTCGATTGAATTAGGATGTTGGCTTCGAGAAAAGCAGAACTTGTAATGAAAACTATTTCTGGTGAAACGCTCCAATAAAAATGTTTTCCTTTTTAAATCCACTGAGGACTTCATTTTGTGTTTGAAAGTAACCACGTGGCGGTGTGACGACTCTTCCACTCCGTGACCTTTGCTTCACGGTTGATAACATTTCGAAAAGTTTTAGCATTTTAACTTTTTCTTTACTGATATTAAAAAACAACACAATTATTAAGGAATTTAAGTGTTGGTTTCCGTCCTCATGGAACGTAAGCATTGCCTGATCACATTCATATTCTTTACTTACAGGAGGAGCAATGTTGTCTGAAGGATGAAAGAACAAAGATTCTGGCCAAGAGAATTGAAGACATTGAAATTACTGATTTTTTGGTGGATACTGCAAAGATAAGAACTTTTAATTTATTTAGTAATAACAGCAAAAATTGTGGCTGTTTCCTTGCCTAATTATTTTACGAAATATTAATTCTTTTGCCAATTTTCTTGTACTGGAATGGATAAAACTGATTACATAGTAAGTATATTGTTCTCAATTAGCCACCATTTTTTAAATAGTTTGTCGTGGTACAGGTTGTAAGGCAGACCCTAGGCGATCGTTTGATTTATTTGACAAAATAGCCACGATTTGCTTAAATTTATCTCGGAGGATTTCGCTACATCGAACCAAACGAGGAAATCACTGGAAACTGATTTACTCTAGGCCACTGAGTGCTGGAACTGAAATTAATCGTTTCGAATCACTGATCGCTCATTTTCTTTGTTTGCTTAACAGTTAGTATCACTGGTGTATCATGGTTGATGTCGTGCAAAGGTAATATTTTTTAAGGTGGCACTCTAACAAAATACTTCGACCGGACAAAGACCAAATGAAACTCAAACCTGAAATCATTTGATGAGTTAAATCTTGCGTA